GTGGCCTCAGCATGGCCAGAGAAACAGCGTGTCGGTGCGTGCCCGGGATCCAAACCCGGGCCACCAGCAGCCGAGCGAGCGCACTTAACCGCTAAGCCACGGGGCCGGCCCGCATCTCCTCATTTTTAAGAAGATAATTACCTTAGCATCTCTTTTGTAGACTCGAAATTTTGTCATTGTCTTTTAAAAAAAATGTGGCCAGTTCCTCTTTCAGTACCTCCAACCTGAATCAGTTGGAGTGGGATTTGTGTTTTCAATATTTTGGGAGAGGGCTGCCTTTGGTTTGGGTATTATTCATTCATGGCACCTTTTGTGTGACACACCAGTGAACAGAGCCAGCAGTCCCCTAGGCAACGTCATGTACAAGCACTCACCAGAGGCAGCAGGCAAAGCCACGCACACACACATCTTAATTTTAAAGTAATCGTTTCTGGTTCCTGTGGGTTTTTTTTTTTTTTTTTTTTTTTTAACTTCAAGAGGATCCCAATAAGCCATCATGTGTGATGGTGAGACATTAATTTGGTGTTAAGCACAAAGCCCAGCTGTGATTTTCTGAAGTCAGAGCTGTTTTGATTGCCTTCCCTGGCATGAGGGGTGTTGGTGACCTGGGGTGTCTGCAGCCTTTGCTGCCTGGCACACCGACCAAATGTTTTTAATTTCAGAATAACAAAAACAGGAAAGGGAATCATGCTTTGAAAGGCAGAAACATACAGTACATTTTAATTCCCTGCTGGAGTTCTTGTGTAAATGTTCTTTCAGCCCTGACCCTTCACTGGCTCTTTCTGTCCCTGAATATGTGTGCCTGGTCCATGGCAGTCCTGGAGTTCGCTTTGAATGTCCCCTCTTCTCATATGAATCAGAAAGGCTAGAAATGAGATGGCTCATCCCAGTGCGAGATCTGTTTATATTTCTCTCCTTGGCTGTACTCCTGTTCCAGGCCAATTTTGGACAATGCATGACAACGTTACTAAACAATTAGGTAATGTTTCACGATGTTCTTTTTTATTCCCCCAATCAGTTTCATGCTTTGTGATTTCCTAAGTCCCTGTCTCAGATGTGAATTCTGACTGTGCTGTGAGGGAAAAGTACCTGCTAATAAAAGGCATACCTTTGTGCTTAGAAAGGGGGAAATGGTTTGTAGTGACTTTGTTTCTAGTATTTCCTTTAGAGACAGCGTGGTAGAATGGAGAGAATCCTGGTTTTGGTGCCAGATGTGGCTGCATTCAAATCTCATCTCCAACTGTCATTACTCCCAGTTGATATTGGGCAAGCCAGTTGAACTCTGAGTCTGTTTCTTTACCTGTGAAATGGGTACGATGATAGTACTCACCTTGAGAGTTACTGTGAGGGTTAGAAGAGTTCGTTCATTTGTTCACTCAACAAGTATTTGATAGGTGCCTAGTGGGTATTTCATCTAAAGCACTTGGCCCGCTGCCTGCCCATGGTGAGTTCTCAGCTACATGTGCCACTTAACTTCTGTGAGCCTCAGGTTCCCCTTCGCTAACAAAGGAAGAGTAATGCCTATCTCCTTATATTTTGTAGGAGAATTAAATAAGATAACAAATGTAAAGCTCTTAGCACAGTGCCTGCCGTAAAAAGGGAGTTCATCTTCCTTCCATAAGCAACTTGTTAAAAGTTTGTCTATAGGAGCAATTAACTTCTTTAAACAAACTGAAAACAAAGAAAAATGTCTACTAAAGGAATAGTAAGGAACTTGATGGGGTAGGTTTAAAGAACAGCCC